TTTTTTCGCATATTAATATGTTTTCACTGTTATAGTTATGATGGTACATTACACGACACGGGCGCTCTTTCAATCCAAGTGATTTGGTTATAAGAAGTTTCAAATATATTGTGACACATTCAAACATAGTGTGAGAAGTCTGATTAGTATTCTGGATGTGATTTGAACTGTACAGACAAAAACAAAATCATGTTTACCTTAAGTAATGAAACTGGGTCTTGCCCAGATATGTTAGGTACTCTCAGGTGTACTTCTAAAGAACATTTTCAATTCATTATTTTTATTTTTATTTTTATGTGAATCTATGTCGCAGAACACCCTGCGGCATACCTAAGACATTAGAAACAGACTCTAGTGGAAGTCATAAATCTCAAAATCCTGTGACTGGCTGTTTTATAAATATGCTCAATGTTACATAGGAACTTGTAATCGAGAGGTGCACTTCAGAATTAACGCTGTTTGACATGATCAAGTTCAAATTCTTTGCCATATTTGATCGTCCATAATTGGTACTCAATATCATGTCTAGTATACATTTTTAGTGTGTTCTGGTCTAATTTAACACTATTATATGCTGATAACCAGCATGCAATTATACACCTTCAGTGTGAATCATTTTCCCAAAAAAAAAAAATGTGTATGGTGTGTGTGTGTGTGTGTACAATAAATTATAAATGTAACTGATTAATAGCCTCGTAACTACTACACCTAGTAAGTTAACAGTACACAGACTAAAAAACAGGAACAAAACATTGCACAGTTACCCAGATCAGAGTTAATCACGGTAATGTTTAACTCATTCAACTTTGTTTTTGTTTTTTATTCAAATCTTAGTATGATGCCTGCTGTTTTAGTGAAAATTATTTATTTATTTTTTTAAGCCGGACCAAAAAGTAACTAATTACTCTACCTAAAAGTTACTATCTACTTCCTGACAAAAAAACTTGTCGCCTATTAAAGTTGTAGGAACAACAAATAATAAATAGCTTGACTTCTTGTTGATTATTTAGTATCAAAACTAGGTTATATGGAAGGCAAAGGACTCTAGATTATGCTTATTTTACCAAAAACAAAATACGATCATGGCTTGATTTTTTAAATTATTTAATTAGGACAGTAAAGTCTGACTTTGCTTGGACAAAAAGTCTTGTCACGTAACATAAATAATGTAAAGTATAGAATAGAAAGTCATGGTGCAAGGAAAAAAAGAATTAATATTGTGTATGACTCTCATGAGCTTGGAGGACTGCATCCATACATCTCTGCAATGACTCAAATCACTTATTAATAAAGTCATCTGGAATGGCAAAGAAAGCGTTCTTGCAGGACTCATAGAGTTCATCAAGATTCTTTTAATTAATCTTCAATGCCTCCTTCATTTTACCCCAGACATGCTCAATAATGCTCAGTCTGGTGACTGGGCTGGCCAATCCTGGAGCACCTTGAGCACCTTCTTTGCTTTCAGGAACTTTGATGTGGAGGCTGAAGTATGAAAAGGAGCGCTGTCCTGCTGAAGAATTTGCCCTCTTTGTGTGTGGTTTGTAATGTAATGGGCAGCACAAATGTTGATACCTCAGGCTGTTGATGTTGCCACTCAGCAGATATCTTGCACACCCCCATACTTAAAACTGGGATCGACAACAAAACTTTTCTCAGGTTGTGTATGTGTGTGGCAAGTGTGGTATGTGAATACTGTCTGTGTATGCATATGGCAAGCCACGAGCCATCCAGACGTTCAGCCAGCCTTTTGTGCACTTGGGAAAGATTTTTCAAAACAGGGAATAGAATTGGACATCTAGGTAAACACACATCCCGCACGCTCCTGTGACAAACACACATCTCTGTGCTGGTCCTGCAGCGCGGATAACAATCTCTCAAGCCTCCGGCAATTGCTCCAGCATCACATGAGTGTGCACTCAGCAGAAACAGGTGCAACATTCACTCTATGACCCTCGAGATCTGTTCTTTTGTTCTTCCCTCTTTAAAATCCCACTTTCTTTTTGTTTCTAGTCCACTATAGATATACACACACATACAGCTGAAGTCAAAATGATTAGCCATATTTCCCAAGTGATGTTTAACAGAGCAAGGGGGGGGGTGGAATAAAAGCAGTGATTGTTATTATTATTTTATTTATTTTGCTGTAACAACAGTTTATTTGATTCAATGTTTTGGGTTCATTTATAATAGCCATGTTTCCATTAAAAATTGTGAATTAAATTTACGGGCAAAACTGGAATATCACATAAAGGATGTGCAAACAAAGCAATGTCTCCATCCAAGTAGTCAAAGAGAATAAATTTGTCATTTACCGATTAACTGGTGCCAATTATTAACAGTAAAATTAAAATTTTCTGCGATAGGAAAAGGCGTGTTAATATTTTCATTATTTAAAAATTGACTTTCACCTCAGAAGATGATAAAAAAAAAAAATTGGTTAATGGAATTGCCAAGATTTTCAAAATTTAAGCACATCTTGGCGTTTTCATCAACCAATTTTTATGTGCATCTTCAAAATGCACGTAAAAAGTGGAAGGAAATATAGCTAGTGAGAAAGATTAGGTTTGAGCTACATATAATAGCACGTTTTTTGGAAACTTGAGCTGATATCCAACAATTCCATCGGTTTTATTTTCTTCAGTTATTTAAATTTGTCAACTTTTTCAACAGAATAACAGTAGTACTGGTATCTTGTAACAACAAGTACAGCAGTTTTTGTTAGACATTTAAATGCAAATAAATGCTTAACAGCAAAAGACAAAAATAAAATGAAAATTATAAACCAAATTTGGAAAGACAGTCACCCTAAA